TTCGGAGTTATTGCTTAGTGGCTTTTGATGGAAATATTACGTGACTATAATTTGTATCAAATATAAAAAACCTAAAACCTAAATAACTATCGACGAAAACAACACTACACCGCTTGTAACAAACACTGAACGACGTGCTTAAAAAATTAAAACCGATTTAACGAACGTACACGAGAGGTTAATAGGTCATTTTATACATACTACAAAAAAAAATATATCGCTGTATAACATCATCATGATTTACATAATGGACCGATAACCGATCATTGGCCATCTTTAGCCGATATTATAATAATTTACCGATTTGTACATCGGATCATCCCTAAACCGTATCCATCATAATATTACATCGTACCTATACGTACGGTTAGGTTGACATAATAATATTATGTTGCTCAGTGTCACGTAGGTAGTGTTTGTGAGCGTGGTGTTTATCGTTTTTGTATTTGGTCTGTATCAGTATTTTTCGATCTCATTTTTAAAGACTATAAATTCACGAAAAATCAGAAGTAATTTTAAGCGTTATTGCGATTAAATGATGCGAACACAAGTTGTACATTAATAAATTCAAGTGCAAAATAAGGGTCTAGTAAATAGTTTGTAGAGTAGTTTTTTTCAAAACGTAAATACCACCTCTACAGTCTTCCTACTTAAAAAAGAATACATACCTGCATGTTTACATATTAATTAGGTAATATATGAGAATGTAACGATTATTAAGCGATTATAATTTGTATCAAATATTCAAATCCGTAAAACGCTCTACGAGAACATTATACAAGTATAAAACGTTTGTACCGAACACCAAACGACGTGATTTAAAAATTTAAAACTAATATAGCGAACGTACACAGAAATTTAATCGGACATTGTATATACTCGTATTTCTTTTACTGAAAAAATGTATCGGATCCGATATTATAATTTTTACATAATTGGCTATATACTACCGATTATCGGCCATCATCAGCTGACATCGTAATACTTTATTGATCTGTACATCAGCTCATCTCAAAACCGTATCATAATAATATTGTATCGTTCGGTAAGCATCGATGTGCTGGTCACTAACTAGTCAACAACTTACAAGTTACTTTTATTGGTTAATTGACTTTTATAGGTACTTTGTTTGGTAGCTCGTTTGAGTAAATTAACTATCTACTGGTATTTTTCCTGTACCTACCTAAATATTAAGTAACTTAAAGTTAAACAAATAGTTATTTTTAAGGAAAATATGAAGTTATTCAAAAATATTTTAAAATAACTATTCCGGTTTATTTCTGAATAAAGTACACAATTTGTCAAATCCTGAAATTTATTTAAAATTCAAAATTTCGAACAAACACTTATATTAAAATGTATGAGAATTTACTTAATATCGTACAAATAAGGAATATTTGATCGTTGAATCATATTTATAATAATTTAATTCCGGTTTCTTTACATAATATATATACCTAAATTGTAATGATTTTTATAGTACCTACACGTAACTTTTTTTCTAACTTTTTGGTAACTCAGTTAGTGTCTTAAATACTTGTAATCATCAAACTTATAACGTAACTAAACATTTCATAGTAAATTTCACCATAAATAGGCATAGGTAGTTTTTTTTAAAATTTCCTAACTTTAACTAGGTACCTAGTTAGAAATTATCACCAACTTTCCCAGGGTTACTAAGAGCGATATAATAGTATTATTATGTTGTACGCAGTGTCGTGTACTTATTGTTTGTGCTCGTGGCATTTGACGTTTTTGTATTTTGTCAGTTTGTTCCGGGCGGGTAGTCGTTGCAGTAATTCTCTAGACAGCCAACACGCACAGTGCACACGCAATCGGCCGGACAAAGTCGCAGCTGGGTCTGTAGTCTGCGCCTCGTGTAATACGATATCCGCAAATTTCTGCACCGCTCGCGCAAAACAACATAATAATATTATAAAACAGCCGAGCACGATATCCTTTGGCCGTGAAGATGGCTGACTACGTTATCTGCTGCGTAATGACAATATTATTGCCGCTGCCACGCCGGTCACCCGGGACGCCGCGAAAAGCTATTTTAAAAATTACCCACATAATATTGTGGGCAATGATAATAAATTATCGAGTTATTTGTTCATGTTTTGCAGAAATTGTTGTATTTGATTTAGTAGTTTAATTTGAAAATAATACTCCATGTAGAGAATAGGTTGGGTAGAAATGTCCTACGTACAAATATGTCCGGGGTAAAATTGTCCAAAATGAACTGCCTTTGTTTAGAATCAAAAATAAGATATAAATATATAGGTGGAATAGATTATTAAACACTGATATACCAACTATACCAAACTAAAAACGTATTTATTTTACTATATTGATTTATATTTAAATAAATAAACAATAAATAAATACACATAATATATTTTATGTAATAAGTCAGATAATTAGTATACCTAATTTAAAATTGTCTTAATTTACTTGAACTACATTTAGCATTATCAACAGAATTCTAGGTATGATAAATGGCCGAGAAACATGAATTAACGAAGCTTAGTACTATTGTGTACATTTTGAATCGATTAAACGTGTTGTAAAATGATCATTTGATGCATTGTACCTATGTAGTAATTAAAAAAAATTAAAGCCATATTGAAATCTCAAAGAAAGCTGCGTAGGCCAGTTTGACTAATATAAAATCAAACTTTGAATGTTTACTATGATAAAATGAAACAACTTCAAAAACAAACATGATGATTATTTGAGTAAATTCAAATAACTGACATAATTAAGAAACTTCAAGAACAACAAGGTGACAGTATTAAAAATAAATTAGATTCAGTTTTAAATGAAAATGCTGGTTTCAAAATATTTGCGTAATCGTAAACTATTATGACTTGATGAAGATGATAATATGGAAAATCTAGGACTAACCCAAAAACATGACCCTCTGCTGAATGCTGATATTGAAAGATAATTTCCAATGGGCAACAATGAAGGTACCTAGTCATTTATAAACACCGTTCGTTCAAACTGGACCACATAAAAAAAAACACCGATGGTGAAATTCAATTCCATATAGGTAAATATAAATTACTTAATTAGGTTTATTCACTGTTCGGGATTGTGTAAATGGATTTGTATTGTAGTTTAAAATTCAAAATGAACGACTGATAGAAGCGTACAGAATACGCAGTACCAAAGTACCAGTACCTACCATTTAATTTAAAAGCAATTTTAAATAAGTACAATTTTCTGTTAATGAAATAATTATTTAAGTTACCATAATAATTGATATTTTCTCTTTATTGTAAATTAATTTTTTTTTCATTTTTAAGGAGTTTACCTGCACATTTTAAATTATATTTACTGACATCACATTTATAAGTATTTATTGCTGTATAATTGAATGATTATTTATGAGATTTTTGGTGCATAAACATAAGGGCACTAATGATAAAAATTATAATAGATAACCCACGACACTTGGTGGTTTGGATGTGAAATGACGTGTGTTCCTAACAGAAAATTCTATACCCTACGCAAAATTACAATACTTTATACTTATAAATAGGTATATACTATATGTATATACATACTACAATATTACGGTCAGGAAAAATTATTAATGCACGAACGCGTCGTTAGCTAAGGTATTACTAACGGCCGCGTGGGACGGTCACGACTTCTCGTCTTCCGTGATCAAACCACGTTTTCCAAAATAACTAAATAGTAAACTTGCACAAACGTTTCGAATGGCGTAGGTATTCGACGAGTCTAGACCTTATCATTACGTATGTCTATAATAACGCTGCAACAAAACTACACAAGACGTGCTTATTTCGCGATCGCTCAAATATATGACGTATAAGAAATTATAATATTTGGCACTACCTGCGGCGGGAGAGGCAGTAATATTATATTATAATACTACTCGTACATTATACCTGAGTTCATGCCGATTTAGCATGAATACAATTATTGTAAAACAATATCATTAGTACCACGATAGACTATTATAAATATCATGATTAGTATTAATAAAACCTAAACACCCTACTGGCATTACATTTTAAATTTATATAATATACATTGCAAAGTTAAGAGCAAAATCCAAAATCGGATATAAATGAAAAAAAACACAAACTAATAATAATCTCTAAAATGACAACTCGAATCACGAAATTAATGGCATTTAAAATGTACAATATATTTTTAAACGAAGGCTTTAATTGCCTTTTATTTTGTCGACACTACAGGTATAATATGCATAAGGTAACCTAAAAATAGATACTAAATGTACTTTTATTTTTAAACGATTAGTCTAATAAATTACTAATAAATTGCGAATATGAAATAATTAAAATTCCCAGGGAAGTTATTTTCTTGGAAATATAAAACTAAATCCATCTGTTTTGAACAGGAAGAGATAAAAACATTATAGATATTGCGAAACGTATAAAATGTAACTATGTAAGGCAAATAATTAAAATATGTTTTCAAAACAAAAATTACTAATTTTTTATATGTCGTGTTTCCGAGATACAGCAATATTTGCTAGATAAAACCAAACTACATAATAATCTTATAAATTATCTACAATTATTTAGGTACGTCCACACCAAGTATCATTGAATATATATGATGATGGGACTATATTATTATATTTTGAAAAACAGCTGTGTTTTTATTATTTATATTACTGCTCTTTCATATAAATATTTGTATAGCTACAATCGGACTAATATATGTAGCATAATTATTTTGTTAATTACTAATTATATTAAAATGTCTCCTGAATTCAAACTATTTCAAGTCCGAAAGCCATTTAGTTACACACTAGACGCTGATTCACGATAAAAACAACACGTGCCATACATACATAAATTAGAACATAATTTTATTTAAAATTTAGAACACGTGTCTGGAAATCTTACTAATCTTACTAATCATATTATAGTTTAAATAGGTACACACATAATATTAAACTATATGCTTTTACATAATAGACTAATCGTAGTACGTACCTTTGGAATGAATGGTAATGACTCTTTCAGTGTTATCTTGTAGAACTGACATTTTTGTACTAGATCTTTCATATTTATTATATCCAATGTCTGAATAGTTTCCACAAAACGATCGCTGTAAAATAATGAACATCTTTGTTGTTAATTATAATTTAATTATAAGTGGAAGTACAATTCAAAATTAAAAAAACGTACATTTAAAAATATTTACATATATTCCAAGAAAAGCTTCACTTAACATACTACATTATTTGTCTTAACAGTTAGAAATAAGATGATTTTCAAAGCTTTAGTGAACATTGTTTTTTAATGAAAACATTATAATAATACCTATTTAAAGCATTATTTGAATTTATAAATTAACATTTTTACGATACTTTAATTTTTATGTAATTTACGAGCACTTATGTGAAATATAAAAAATGCTCATAATATGTATAAATATTTAAATATTGTAATTAATACACCGAGAATCACAGACACTTGCTTTACTTTAGATTTGATACCTAATAAGTCTATTTGCTCCATTATTAATGTAAAAAATAAAAAACTGGTTCTGCTGATCGTGAATTTACTATGTCATGTGCGTATTAGAGAGAAAACAATCAGTGCGCCGACATTATCTTAACAGATGAAAGATGAATATCATAGAAAAAAAGTTTTTTATTACAGTAGGATATTAATATATTATACAAAAATCAAAGTAGGTGTTACAAAATGTCCTAGTTAAGTTTGTTTAAAAAATTGTAAAACTAAAATGTGAATAAATACATTTTTAAATAATAAAACTAGACTGGTAAGTCACCATTCATACATTATAATATTTTACATTATGAAGTGGTTTATTCAAATTAATCATATTATTCAAATAATGAAATAATTAATTATTGTCACTGATTTATAATATTATACAACTGCTGAAATATGAGAATACAGAAATCGAAATATAAGTCGTTTAAATTTAAAAATTAAATAGCCTGTACAGAACCTTTGTTTAAAAATGTTTGACACTTTTAATGGCGAAAAGATAGACCAAAAGAAAGGGAAAATATCCTAAATATATGTTCGATACCTATGGGAATGGATGCAGTGGTTTACAAATAATTATACTTTATTAATCCTTTGTTGGTTTATGTTGTGATTTTTGCTTTAATTTTTACAACGTGGTATATCTAAGATAAATACATTCTGCCGATAGAATCAATATCATATTTCACATTTTTTTTTTAAATTTAAATAGACAAAAACTTTAACAATTGAGAAACTTTTACTGCATAGTGTGTAGTGAGTGTAACTCGTAATGGAAATGAATTCACCATAACAGATGTATTGAATATGAATTCAATTTTGAGCCCTACAGATGAATGAATCAACATCTATTCCTAAGGATGGTTGGAGAGTTTTAATTTTACATTATATTATATTTATAATATTACTAATTTATTAATTTGGCAGGTTGAACTGATATTTAAAAAAAAAATATTGCTTTAAATCCAATACATTCCTCTCTCATCTGAGAATCTAAAGTATAGATAAGAGTACTATGTATAATATTAAAATAAGTCTTATAATTATTCCATCTGGGGTAAAGAGTTAACATTTTTAAACAAACAAGATTTTATTTTTTCAGATTCCTCCATCTTTTTTTTCTTTTTGTATTTTTATGATTTTTCCTTTGTGGTAAATTAAGTTTTCCATCCCTTATTCCAAAAAGAATGATTCAGAGTATTATATGACTACAATAGTACCAAAATCTAAATAAATTAAATAAAACGAGTAACAAGGGGAGAAGTATAGTGTATACATTCTTAGGATCTGTAGTTTTGAACAGTTTTTTCTTGAAGATGTAATGCGCAAGCAACTCCAACCACCATTAGCGATGTCACAATAATAATAAAAATATACATTTTTTTTTCATGAAATTCCAACTATATATTATAACACAACATGACAATGTTATGTTCGATTCTGTAGTAAATGAACAAACGTCATTATATAATTAATATATTCGTTCGTATTGTTGAATGTGCAGATAAAAATAACATGGTATAGTTTATAGTACATTATAATAAATTGCTTGAACGAAAAAATAACTATCATTGTGAATTACTAGCAGTAGAATAAGGAATGCGATTATTGATCCCTCACTAAGTTGGGTCGTTTGGTACTTTTAGATTAGCTGAGGACTTTCATATAGGAATAGGTATTTCAACAGTAATTTTAAAAGGGACGCTTGCGTTTACTTCACTGGTCCGTTTAAATTTTACCGTCCTTTACTCTTTAAAACTGTGTCAAAAGGTCATCTTTATCTTTCTCAAAAAATTGTTTTTTTTTTTTGTATAATATTATGTTCTATGCTCGTATATACTTGTCTCTACGTAATCTTAGTGCACAGTGTATACAATACATTCATCCAAGCATATTATTTTGGCACTGAAAATCGACAACCTAAGAAATTGTGTAACTATGTAGCTGCAATCGGTTATTACTACTACATATTAGTAAGAAATAAAATGATAAACTAGTTTTAAGTTTTAAAACTGTACGTAGTCTTGTTTAAAAGCATAGAGGCTTTTATTTTATAAAATGACGTAAGTTTAAAATTATTAGTTTGTACTTTGTATTCAAATAATTAAAACCAAATATAACATTAAAATAATCAGGTATAAACAGCAGTTATAAATTATATAGTTATAATAATTTGAAATACCAAAACACACGTATATGGTGATTATCGTTTTAAATTAAATTTATGAAATTCATGGAAATCGAATTTCCAGAAACTTATTAAAACAAGAATAATTATGCATTTATAATTGTACAGAAGTTTAAGATAATCTCCGTATAAAATCGTATTTAATTTTCTCGAAGCTATAACCGCTGTTGATATATATGAGTATTGCGATTTTGCAATAAATATTCACATACATATATTAAACAAAAAATAATAATAATAATATTTTTTAATTTGTCCATCATCAACATAAGATACACATTTTATTCATATTGTGTACCTACTAAAATTTGACGTTTCTTTATTTATTTGTTGACAGTAAAAGTATTATAATTACTTAGGAAGTATTAGTATAACCACCTATAACACTATGAATTTCCAAAATCAGGATGATCCTACAATCATAGTCTAATATACTTCAAATGAATTTCTAATCTAAAATCATCTATTTATTTTGTGTGTGATTTTGAGTAGTTATTGAACAAATAGTTCTAAATGTTAAATTAATTTTAAACTCCATTACCATATTATAAAATATGTATTTATAGGAATTTTTTATTTTAATGTATGTCACTGACTCAATATTTAAACATTATCGTTATACCTATTTATTATTTGTAAGTAAAAATAAAATAAACTTCTTAATTTATATCTTTAGTTATGAGTATAATTTGTTTTTAAAATACTTTATATTACAAAGTAGGTATCTTTTCAAATAATAATTGCATTGTATCATATTTATTTATTATTTTTATTTATCAACGTCTATCAGAAATAAACGAATATCCTGGAACGTTTTTAATTTTAACTTGGATGTCAGAGGCCAGAATAAATCCATTTTTTAAAAATTGCATTTTGTTCGTTTATTATTCTCGAGGTTGTAATCTAAACCGATTTACTCTCGTGAAGTTAATGCAATTAAACCGAAATACTCCAAGCGCAGGTGGATTGCTCATCTCGATTGGATTTGTCCACAAAGAGGGGCACAACGACGCCATGAACTGAGGCACACTCCAAACAAAGTACACCATGGAGCGCCGTGCGTACTGTAAATGTATAATAAAATTGTTCATTTTATCCCAGGTGGAGTCGGGTAGGGTACAGCTAGTGTGATATAAAAAAAATATATCTAAAACCTTCTAAGTGTGTAATAATTCTTGTCACTAATAATGGCTGTATAAAAAAAAAAAATATTATCGCCTAACAGTTATGTCGGCTACGGTTGTCAACGTGCTTTCAAGTGTATAAATCATAATTAACATTATTATACATTATTTTCCGACCGTCCGATCTGTACGTTTTGACTTAAGTCAAAGTTTTGAGTGAAGATGTATTCGTTAACAGTATCATGCTTGTGTTTCTGCGTCTTTTCAGAGTCATTGGTTAGGATCGTGGTTTCGAATCACGTCCCCCCCGATCCGTGGTCGAAGTCCAACACGAAACATTGGATGGGAATGGCGTACGAGGCAGATTCAAATGGCCGATCGTCATCTCTACCGATTTGTGACTGTTCACATGTCCGGGTATCCGGATATCCTCATCCGGACATCATCAGTTCACAGGTAACCGGATACCGTCCACCACACATCGGCTGTCCGCAGGTAACCGGATGCGGTACCTTACCGTCGACGAACTATCCAACGCAATGTACGTCCCGATGCACTATGCCTCCGTGGCCGACTCGCCGGACATTACCACCGTGCACGACATGCCGCTCTACGGCGCCGCCGTGCACGACATGTCGGTCTACGCTGCCACCTTGTACCACGTGTTGGACGCGGCCACCTTGTACCACGTGTTGGACACGTCCACCTTGCACCAAGCGTAGGACGCTGGCATCTTGTACCACATGTAGGACGCTACCACCTTGTACCACATGTAGGACGTTACCACCTTGTACCACATGTAGGACGCTACCACCTTGTACCACATGTAAGACGCTGCCACCTTGTACCACATGTAGGACGCTGCCACCTTGTACCAAATGTAGGACGCTGCCACCGTGTACGACATGCCGGACGACTAGACCTCCACCGTTGTTAATCGTACACGTAGAAATTCCGCAGGGCCCTACCACACGAAACTACCGGAAAAACAAACAATGACTTGAATCTACTTGAATCGACTGATTATGCTGCTGCAGTCCCAAGGCATCTTCGAAGTAGAGTTTACACATGCAAAGTGCCCATGAAGATGCCTTCAGACTACATAATTAGTGACTTGATTCATTGTTTGTTTTTCCGGTGGTTTCGTGTGGTAGGGCTCTGTGGAGTTTCCACATGTAAAACTAATAATGGTGGAGGTCTAGTTCATGTGGTATTGGACTAGGTACATAAATATGTATTGCAATTAAATAGAATCATGATTCTGTAAATAATTGCCTGTTTAGTTTTGTAATTTATTATAATAATAAAAAAAAATATTACACATTTAAATCTATTTGTTTTTTTTCATAGATAAACGGATTATTTTAATTAAATATATAATTAATAATTCCTTTCCGAAAGACTTTCACCGAAAAATATGTATAATTATATATTAGACAATCGGTAAGTACTCAATATATTTGATTTTTTCATAATTTATTATTATGTATTTCTGTGATACATTTTGTTATGACGCGTTACACGAAGACAACTATTGCCAGTTAGACCATTCCGTCATTAAACTGTTATTAGAATTATTATCCATATCAATACAAAGATTTTTGAGGTAAGAATTACCAGTCAATCATTGTGATTCCACCGTAAAACACTAAAACATGATGTGAAGAAATAATAAATACTACTATAACAGTCATTTTTACTTTTTCCTCCTGGTTTTTGTTTTGTTACGTCAAATAAGCATATTACAATAATAATAATCGATGTGACAAAACTATTTTGTTTGAAGTACCCAATTATATACAATCATATTATGAACTAATTTTAAGATGTAAACTTTCCGTACCAACACTACAAAAATGAAAATCGTTCCGAAAACCTTATTAAATTAATGTATTAGACTACTACCTTATTATAACTTATAACTATTATATTATTATGAACAAAGTTAAGTAGGTATGTTAATAGTATTTTACCAGAAATAAGGAGTGTGCAATATATTTTTGACGAACGGTCTCGCATCTACGTCTTTGCTCAGCATTTTGGTTGCCATTTCTTGTAATTGTGCCGGAAGTTTAGGCAATACATTGTGAATTTGATTTTCTAACTAAAAATATATAAACACAATTTATGTACATTAAAACAATAGTATTCTTCTTTTTGTCAGTTTACACATTTCATCAAATTATAAAGTTGTTTATTGATTATAGATATAATAATACTATTGTAAGTTAGTTTATTGTGTATATTTTGACTTATAAAAATTTCAAACCCCGGAAAACTGACTCCACCGTAATATTATACAACCATTAAGATAACTGAAAGGTTAACTTTTTCAATTTATTTTTTTGACCTATATTTTCTCCAACAGTCTTTAAGCTCTTGAGCGGTGGTAAAATAGTCATTCTGCTTAAACTAAATTGCCTATTATTCTAATAATATGACACTATAACTATATTTATAATTGTATTTGAAATACGATTATTGATTTAATATAATGTAAATTAACTATTCAGCAGTAACTAAGATTATCTATTTACCTATTGGCTATTAATGAATTTTTGTAACTTGATCTTGGCTAGGTTCTAGGTCCCTTTATATCATATCTTAATATTTATTCTATTTATTTTATTGAATATATTTTGTTCATTATCTATATATGTGAATTGATTATTTCAATTTTTAATTTGAGACAATCTATATATTGTTAATACTAAAAGTAGTAAAAATTTAAATTTCGAACGCAGCGTAGATTAAAATTAATTATTATTCGGGGTTTCTTAATATAAACTGAAATAAATCTTTCACAAACGAAATTATTTTAATTTTGAATAATGGATCATCTACATTACATTAAGACAGTAATTTTTGAATTGTTTTTTTTTAATAAAATGATTATGACACCATACCCTAGGTACAAAGTACAGTCTCCAAACTTACAATTATAGTAGTTCATTCAACTGTTATAGGTTAGGTATTGTTATTGATGCTATACATAGAATATGATTTTAAATGACGTATCACATCGCATCTGCAAAATAATAATAATTAGCTCTATTGAACTTCAAGGATATTGTTCCATGTAGTCGATTCAAATTTGCATGCCACAGGGAAGTGGATAGTTTCTGTAATGTTTTTTTGTAAGTCAAACTGAGTAGTAATTAAACATAGATATTTCTTTTTCCTTTGAGATAAATTCGGAGAAATCCTACGATAACTAAAAGATAGTTATTCATACAATCTGAATAAATAAACAAAGTGTTAACATTTAAATTCTCGTCAATTTCAACGAAATTACCAAAACTGATTAAACGGTTAAAATTAATAATATCCATTATTAACATTACAACTAAAACGAGATTGACATCACTGCGTGCAGTGTGCACAATAAGCAGATGAAACTTAATTACCAAAACGATTGTTGATGTAATTTGTAATACACTGGGCTGCAAAGTGCCTATGGTTTTATACATCGGTTACCAGTATAACGCTCAGCATAATTATACTTAAGAAGTAAAAGCTGAGTGAAATTAAAATTTAAATGGGAGAAGTAAACGGTCTTAAAAAGTGGACCGTATTAAAAAAAAACACTGAGTTTATGTTTATTCATGAGGCAACGATAAAACTTTGAAATATCTATTGATTTATTTTAACAAGTTTTTAATACGAAATATCGTGATATTAAAACTCTAAAACTTTTCGCTTTTAATTAAGCTCAATAAAAGGTTTTTTTTGTTATTATAAAATAAGCTTTAAGTATAAAAGGTTTTTGAAAATATTGAAGACCACCTAAATAATTTTATTATCCAGTCTTGATTCACCGAATTTGAGTTTAATTAATTTTGAAATTTGAAGTTGACATTATTTTACTAATTTATATTTACAATAATATTGTCTCTATGCTCCATGCGCTAATCTGTGTAGCCTATTTCAATAGGCCGAGTTTATTATATAAAATTTTTTTAAATTTATTTTACATGCACAAACTATGTAGGGTGAAAAAAATATCAGATTTGTAAACAAATCTGTTTAGTTGATTTTTGGTAAGTATCGTGTAAAATGTTTTTTCTATACACCATTTATTAGTGTTATGGAACCGATATTTTGAATACCTACATGAATTTTATTGTTCTTTTAGAATAAAATATTTTGGTCATTAAAAATGTTGCAAATGTTGTTTTCAAATTGATTTGACAATATCATCAAATCGCAATCGTAATTGATGTTCATTATATTAATTATCACCATTGGCAATGACATTTTCAATTACAACTCACCACATCTAATTGTTTCATGTACGTTGAGCTGCTGTGATTTGCTTGTATCAGTGGTCGACCGTTATTGAATATCGCGAATATTACCATTCCCAACGAGAACATATCGCTGTGAGAACTACAATATGAAGACAACTGGACTTCCGGAGCTGAGAGCATACATTTTTTAATTAGTGTTGAAGACTCAAAGATTTTATGAATTTCAGTAGGTATAAAGGGTGATTTTTTAAGCATGGTCACCCACGTATTACTCTTTAATAGTCCATTTATTCAAATTTTGATTTTTAGAACTTTCAAGTATACTTAAAGCCCATATTTTTGAATTACTGATATTTTGGGTATTACTCAATGAGTATTGTGATACAAGTTTTTATTTTGAGATTAAACCCCTTTTTTACTTCAAATTATTTAGATATTCTTGATAATTTGTATGCATCATAAACAAAATTCTAATGAATAGTTTTTGAGTTATAGTAATGTTTATACTAAAGATAATAATCGTTAAAAATGAAGTTACAAAAATATAAACTATACATTGTAAACTGTAATATTAGATGTATTTATTAGAATTTTTTTTCTAGATTTAGATAGATTTATTGTTATTTCAAATAATATACAATAAAATATAATATTATTTAGCATACTTGGATAATTTAAAAAAATATTTATACTGATAGATCCAGAGTAATGAAGAATTACTTATATTTTGAAATCATCTAAGTACCTACATCTACTAAGCGCATTACCATAAACATATTATCCTTAGTACACGCATATATATAATATATATTGAGGTAATTCGAAAACTTTTGGCTCAAATTTTGATTTATGTTCATAAAAATTCTCAAAAAAGTATTTCTACTGAATGATTAAAAGTGAAAAAGGGAGTTCCTATTTTAAACACAGTAGTTTGTATTGTCACAGGATCATTTTTAAGTGGTACAAAAAATCTCGAGTATTCGAAAATATGGCATTTAAATGGATTTAAAAATTTTAAAAATTCAGAATTTAAAGATAATATGCATGATTTATTACTCAAGGATAAAAGAGGGTGAGCAATACTCACTGAGAATGCTTATAAAATTACCCTGTATATTATGCGTAGGTACAGGGTAAAATAGTCTGATATTGTAGTAGGTATTACGTAGAATCCATTACCGTTACTCATTTAAATTATTAGGTATAGTGGGACATCCTTATAATATTATTATGAATAATTTATATAATATTATTCGACTCACCTATATAATCCAAATCAGGTTGTGCCATTTTTGGTAGTCTAGACGTCCACGGAGTACAAGTAATCCGCTCTCTAGCTTCGGTCTGAACTGCAAAACAATTATTTTTACGATGAAAATAATAATAATAAATGTATCGTTAACTTTAAATATGAGTGCGTTTTATATACATTTTAGTGTTACGTATATTTTCGTTTTGTTAATATTGTTGAAGTATTTTTTTTTTTTGACGTGAGACAGTTTAGTGTAAAACGCTGTTCAAATATATACATATTTTATAAATTAAAATTGACTTATTTTTAAAAATGTACAATTTTCTCACTATAGTAAACGTTTATAAAATACTAAATATACTAAAAACCCAATCAAAATTAATAAATGAGTGTACACATTCTAACTATAATTGTATGTTGGTTATCCGTACTTTCAATTTAATTTGAACTCTTAAAAATGATAAGACTGTATAGTCATTTAAAAATTTCAATTAGGGCAACGAATTTATTATATCACTAAAGGGGTAGTGTTTCTTATTACCGTATTGTTTATCCAAGGGATGACATTTCAAAAGCCTATACTCAGCGTTGACATTTGTTGAACTTTGTTAATTTATATAAATACATAATTACGTTTTGAAGAAACTACAAATTATCAAATTAACAAGTATCTATGTACTAGGGAACCTAAACAAAGTTCCATTTTATTTCTGAGCAGAGATTATCATTTTCTAGAGTTAAACATATCACACCATTATTTTCTTACCACCAATAATTTATTATGAGCTGTGAAATATCAGTAGTTTTAAATACTTAATACCTATGCAGAATAAGTAAGTAATTGAAAGTTGAAACATAATATGCTTTTGAGTGGAAGTATAATATTATGTATATATGCGCGAGCTTAATATTATTCACACATATTTTAGAGACAAAAATGTATAATTTTATGATTCAATGTTGATACAATTCGATGACAGATAAAACTAACAAATATATACTTGATAATTAATTCAAATTCCAGTTGCAACACTCCGTAGTTGTCCCTTTGTAACCGACTGTGACAAATAATTGAAATGAACATGTTTCTATTACGACAGTAAAAGTTTTAACGACAAAAGTATTCCGTCCTTTTTACGCCTCTTACTCTCCGCGGGGACAAGTTATAAAAACTTTTATTAAGAAGTTTATGGATACCAGCAGTGTTGATATTTGGCAGTAAACGGCTTAGGTGCAACCAATATCCAGCTAAATAATATTTTTTATTATTATTATTATACGGTTATAAATAAACAACAGGAAATGTATTCAATAATAAAAGGCATTAAACGCCAAGCTGTCTTTGGGGATTTTAGTGTTACTTAACAATTCATTGCTTCCGAAAACAATAATAATTTTAAATAGTACGAAAAAACGCACATTCCAAACATGCTATGTTGCTGGTTTCTGAACGTAATATATGAGCCTACAATAAAGTTTAATCAATAATATTAATGTTTTACAGCCTAATCAAATTATTTAAGTTCAAATTGTTATTATAAACACGACGTACAACACGTACAATAACATCACTTGTTTAATACCTGTAGCTAAACATATATTATTATATCCAGTATTTACTGTACAATATTATAAAGCACTATTTGTTTCACTCAGTGGCAGAATTTAAAAAAAAAAACTTTTAATCAATTGTTAATGTCGAATAACTATATTATAGATAACCATGACAATGGTCAATGGCAGCATTCTAGAATTGAAGGAAAAACATTTTTTTTGTAAAAACCAACAGTATTGACATTCATGACAATGAATGTTTTGAACAATGCACCTACAGATATAACTCGCATAAAAAATATTATCTACTTATAAATAATCCTAGGATTCTAAAACAAGACCAGCAAAAAATGAATTAAAAAAAAAGTTATTTGATTATATCATTATAAATATTTGTTTAAATATTATAATGTTAAATGAAAGCTACAAGCAAGTTTCACTAAACGAGTTTGATATAGGGAACTGAAATCATAAGAATAATATCAATTTTCAGTCGAATTATTTTATAAGTGGTTCCACATCTGTACCATTATTAGCGGTTGCAATTATTATGAAATTATTTAGGTATAATATGTAATATATAGATCCTATACCTTTAAAACATCAAATTCGTTTTTTTTATATGCAAATATACTTTTGGATAATAACTGCAAATGTTAAAATAATGTAGAATAACAACATGAAATACATTCATAACTCCGCTCAGAGTCTAAAAATAAGGTATACATTTTACTGGCTGAAAAATAGTTATAAAAATAGCCCTAATATGGCTTAGATTAATTTAAAGATAATAATATATCATCAACTACCTATAGCTATGTCAATAACTATCCAAGTTGTTTCGTATGTGCATTATTTTTTATTATGAAGTATACCAACCATTTCTTTTATTAGTAACTTGAACCATCGATAATATTTAATAGTAATTCGAATTGTACTCGTATATAAGTTTTAATATCGAATTAGGTGAATTTGAAATAAAAATCCATAGTACATATTGCATTCGAAGTAAACTTGAATATTTATTTTAAACCAAAAATTAGGAGAAAATTCGATTTACGTGTGCTTATAATTAGCTATGTTAATTTAAACGTCTAAATGGGTGAAAATTAAAATGGCTAAATATTGAATATAATATGTGCAGTAAAAGATTTTACTCTTTCTATAGTAGTTATGGCTTCAGTACTTCCAAGAACAGCAGTTGCTGAAGTTTACATATTGAGAAACTTTAAACTGTTATAACGTGCCTCACTACGCATTGGGTTTATACCATTACGGTTGTATATAAATTAGACTGTACCAATGTACCAACGTGCAACGTGCTTATTTTGAAACACTATTTTGCCAAGGAAATTCAATTAAATTATTTCCCTTATACTTATATAAATAATACTGTCTAATGGTCTATAATTATTAATTGGATACCTCGTGTCGACAAGGACCAATTTGCTACCTACACACACGAACTATAACTATAATATGCTATTAATTAATGAGATTCTATGTCAACCAGTCATGTTTGTTTTAAGACACTACAAATACTTTGTAATTGTATTTTGTAGGTGGGTTACACGTGAGTCGTATCAAATACTGTATATCTGGTAAATTTAACTGTAAATTCAAAGTTTATTTATATTGTGTTCAAAGTAACTGACAAAATATTAAGACTTTGGGAAATATTAATTAATCACAATGACGTATTTATCTTTAGCTGAGAAATTAATTATTTTAATAAAACGGATTTCAGGTAAGAATAACACGACTAAATGATTTTGTCTTGTGTGGGAGTGGGGAGGATTATTCTCAAAACCACACCAGTCAGTACACTGCTGCTCGTGATTATAGTTTTTAATCCAAAACCTATTTTTGAGAAATGAAAAATCACGCATTCACAATTAAAGGTTTTATACCTATATATATCATGTGTATATGGTCGTTTATTATTATTTCAGGTCACCTTAATAACGGTTAAATAGACCCCAGAGTTAACACTTCGGATTAATTCCGGTGCTGTTTCCCTACACATACAATTCTCTTGTCCTCGGACTAGGGTATCAACCTCCATTACATCATGACGGCTTAAAATCGTATATATATATATATATTATATATATATATATATACAGTAGCTCAAATGGTAATAGTTATGCATTCGTGCGTGTATTAAAACTTAACCACATCACCATCTACTTAATAATTCAAATGGTGGTCAGAGCACTAAACAAACTGTGTTGATAAAGACGGTAAAGTTGTTTGATAAAGTGAAAACGGCGAAGCAACAACCGCAGTAGTAGGTAAGTAAAATATAATAAGTAAACACCCCGCATTGGATGCACTATTGTATCGAACACTTATTTAAAAAGTAATTATCAAGCAAAAAAAAAAAATTTTTTTTTTTATTTTTTTTTTTTTTTTTTTTTTTTTTTTTAATTTTTTTTAAAATTTACAATCATATATTTGATATTTATTAGATGAATATTTACATAAACTGCAGCATTTGTAAAAATGCATAATTAATTATAATCGAGAATAATTGTTTTGATAATGAGTTAGCAAGTTTTCATTAGTTTATTTTATTCGGCTTACAGCATAAATTATTTTGTATTTTTTTTCATATTTATTATTTTTTGGTCTCAATTAGGTACATTATATATGTTATTAGATATAGATTGCTTACAATAAACCAAAATAAGTGTATTTGTATAGGTGTATTATTTCAACATAATATAAAATACATAACATTTAATTAAAGCATTTTAGTATTAATCAAGACGAATCTATTATTTAAAAGGTAATTAATTCCAAACTAACTTGTATTTAAAAATAACATCTACCTAGTAACTACTTATATATATTTATTAGTTATTTTATGTATTGTAACTTAGATACAGATAATGTTACTTATCCTAGAATTTTTGTGAAAAATTACAATATCGTTGGTTACAAAGGTACTATTCAATATTATTTTTATAATTTTGTGGAAAAAAAGTGATAGAGTTTAATTCTGCACAATAGAATATTGAAAATAAAATAAAATATTGGTAACTTCTAACTCTACCTCTACAGCGAGGGAGTTTTAAGAAAATTATGACAAACTGACGATTATTGATGTAAGGAAAACAAAATACCTGAGAGTATAATTGTGTGTTGAATCGATTTATAAAAATAAGAATCATGAAATATATAAAATATTTTATACGAGTGGTTTTTTCGTGGAATTTTGAGCTACATGGTACATTATTTTTTTGACATGGTTATTGGTTTTGCACAATATTTTGAAAAAACCATTTCTGATAACCCTATCACCCAAATTGCGAATGTTTATTCGTTGTTTCTCTTAATGTTATTATTGTAGCTTGCACTTCGTCAAAAAAATTCTGCATAGGTTGTTTTTAGAACATTTCTGCGTAATCACGTGCTTATAATGCTAAACCTTGTATCATTTTGGTAATTATAATTTTTTTTGTCTGTAACTTTCAAATCAACTGTCAAATTTTAAAATATTTTATTTACCTATATAGAGGGTTTAAGTCTCCACTAATA